TTGTTGACCAGGTCCTGCAGAGTGGCAGTCCCCATCCCGGCCTCCTTCCCCCACCCCATATCCTCCAGTCCACAAGAGTTTGTTGTGGGGCCAGCACCTCGCCCAGCCTCGCAGCACACCCCAGTGCACCACCTGAGCTGGCTGGAGGACACCAGACTGGTCCGCTTTTCTACCATCTATTGTTGCTACCTCTACATACTTGTGCTCTGCACTGTCCATCATGCCGCTCTTGCTTTCCGCCCAGACACCAAGTGGTGGGGCCTGCTTGGTGTGGGAATGGCTGGGGCTCTCCAGTGGCTGAGTCTGTACTCCACCCTCATCCCACGAGCCACTGGGGGCCTCAGCTGGCAGCTCTGCCATGGAACTGTCACCACAGGCATGTATGTGGCAAGCTTAATGGACACCTTGGTCTCCTGCCCATTCTGCAGGCAGAGGGAGACCCTGGTGCACATGACCCTCGAGTACACCAGGCTGCAGCCCCTCTGCTTCCACCTCAGAACCTCCTCTTGAGGTTCTGGTTGAATTTCACCCACCACCTTTTTGTTTTTGGTCACCCCACCCACGGCCTCACCAAGTCCCAGGACGTCTTGGCCCACCTCCTCCAGGCCCTGGCCAAGTAGACCCTGTACTTGACCAGGAAGGAGGCTGTGGCCGGGAAGGTGCCTGGAGACTGTGTGGCCACTTTCCTCTCACTTGTCCATGTATGTTTCTGGGCACAACACCAGTGAGTGGCACCCACTGGATCCTTGGATACCTTTGAGGACAGGTGGGTACGTCCTAGGGGTCTCTGCTCGGTGTCCCCCTCTGGAGAGCTTCTTTTCACATTTTGACCCTTTGACACCAAAGCCATTCCTAACCCGTTTTTGCTTTTGTTGTCCCAAGAAATTAGTTGCATCTTTCACTGTTTGGCCCCACAAAGGGACCATTAGACAGGTGAGCCTTAAGGCCCACTTTAATATGGAAGATACAAATAGACAGGAGCTTCTGAGGCCTAGCCAGATGGTATCTGGAGTTACTAGCCCCTTGTGCCAGCTGGACTGATGAAGCAGCCCTAACTTAGAGCCCCTGCACCCTGCACTGTACAAAGGCCAGCTGTGCAGACATGACCAGCTGGCCCAGAAGTGCAGGAGGCTCTGCTGCAGTTCCCATTCCACAACCCAGGTGGCCATGTGGTCCCCATCTGGGTCTGGCAGGCACACAGCCATGGGGCCACATGCTGTCACAGGTGTTAGCAGGTCACAGCCAGGCAGCAGACCCCACTGTCAGACTGCTGCAGTGGGTAGAGGGTGCTGTGTGTGGTGCCAGCACCCCAGGTGACAGCAAGAGCAGCCTAGTCCTGCCCAAAGGCATACCCCCCAGGCTGGGCCCATGCTATGTGGCACAGGCAGTGATGGGTTGCACCGCACTATTGGGGGTGTCTGTCAGCAGTGGGCCCTGAGAACCCAATGGCAGTTTTTGCTGCTGCTGGGGGGGGGGGCGGGGAAAGGTTGTGCTCCATGCAGGAAGCAGGCAGGGGACCCACCCCTTCTGAGCAGCCCCCCCCACACCAATGTCCCTACTTACTGGGGACGGTGCCCGGGCTTTGGGTCACTGCTGCAGCCTTGCCTTGCTCCCATTTGCCCCAGCACACTGAGGGAGCATGCTGAGGCAGCAGGGGAAAGGGGCAGGCATAGAGATGCACTGGCTGGGTGCTAGAGCATCTCTTTTGAGGACCCTGCCACCAGCTGCTTCAGGGCAGGCTCGAGCCTGCCCTGTGCTGCATTTTTTCAGCGGGGTTTGGGTTTTTTTTTTTGATATCAGGATTTCCTGGTATCAAATTCAGAGTCTGCGCTGCCTAACATTTTTTTGTTCCCAGTGTGCCTTTTGCGGCTTCTCAAACTGCTCTGAGGCACCGCAACAGGTATGTGAGTGCTCATCTGGACCTAGCCAGGATGTCCACTGAGCCTTGAAGACAAGCACTGGGCACCTATACACTTACACTGAGACTGCTCTGATATGCTGCAATTACAACATGGCAGAGCAGACTTGATTAATCGAGTCAGCTGGACTGTGGTAATTACCATGCTCTGGCAGACTCCAGTCTCACACGTATCAGCATCCCTGTGCTAAAAAATGGCAGCAGGGTTGCTTTAACTAATTAGTTAAGGTGCCCGCATCACCATTTTTCAGTGCAGGGACGCTGATACGTGTGACGCTCCAAGCGTTTTAATAAGAGCAGCTCTTGGAGCCGCTCTAATTAAAGCACCCTCCCCCACTCCCCTCACAGCACATGTATAAATGTCCACTGTGATAAGATGAACGACAAGCATCTTGAAACCCTTAACAATCAGGAATGTGAACACAGGGAACCCTGTTATTTCAACAGGAAAACACCTCTAGCCTATTAAACCTCAATATGGCAACATTTTTATATTCAGAAATTCTATACTACCATGCTGCTCTGATATAACAGTCCTACATTTTAGGCTTCAATTTCAGGAAAAAGCCAAGTTCAATTTTATTCTGAATAAGTAAAATCTACAGGAAGATAGTGAACTGCTATTGCCCTTACATAATCTAACAGAGAATCAAACAACCAAATAAAGGCTACAAAAGCTTTAAAATGTCCCAAAAATGTGAGCTCTATGTGAGCTCACTGTATTCTCTTCAGTCTAAAATTCCATGGCAACATGTTGGCTTGACCCCCATTGGAAATCGAAGTGTTTCCTCCTATGCAAGTGATGACACCGTATGTGAAACCTTAATAAAGGAGAGATCAAGAAGCTGCAATGTGAACAACTGACTTAAGTCTCAAAAACATTTCTGGGGTTTCTAAAATGTATTTTTTTCCTCTGTGGTTTGAAAAGTTATACTTATTGTAACCAACAGACATGGCTTTATGGTTGGAAGGATAGTGCATAATCGAGACAATTTTAAGAGCCTAATTCATTTAATATTCAGCTATGAAATATGAAACAAACCAGGCAATATTTTAACATCATTTGCTTATATGAGCAAGTATAATTCTCACCACATTGTATTTCATACTGCAAATGTTTTTTTATTTATACATACAAACATATGTATGGATGTGTGAATTTACATATTTATATGTACATCTGCAATTTTTAAATATGTACTACCATTTTCAACTTCAAGATGCATTTAGTACATCTATGCAAAAAAAAATAAAAAGCTTTAAGACAATAGCATCTTTTTATTGTCAATAACACCCATGCTCAGTTTCTAAAAGCTCAACTGTGCATGTAGAAGACATTCTTGTTAATTTGAAAGAGATATATTTCAATCCAATATTGGTTAGAAAAAAAAGATATCAAGCACTCTGCCAGTCATTTGGCTTGGTTCTGCTCCCTGCTTGATCTGTCACTGTGCTGCCTGTCCCCTCCCTGACCTGCATGTGCTACACACAAGTTATATATACCACCTGAGTCTAAACAGATTAAGATTTTAGAAGTGAGACATGAATATACAGTCCAAATATATTTTAATTTGTATAACTGGACCACTCTGCAATAGGCCAGAGCCCAGATGTGCCTAAAATGAAGCCACAAACTACACTTATGCAACCCCATAAAAGTCAGATGAAGGTGCAATTTTATATGCCAGGGTAGTTAATCTTTGGAGCAACTTGTCAAGTGTTATAGTCAATTCTCCATCACTATACAGTTTTACATCAAGGAGGGGC